TATAAGAGAGAGAGATATATATATATATATATATATATATATATATATATATATATATAAATATATATATAGCAAACAGTGGTAGAGCCCGCTTTAACATCTTCGCACGAATCGGCTCGGTTCGCCCGGTGAAATACCACGACCACACAGAAGACAGGCGTGAAGTGGAAGTAATTCCGCGTTTAGTCTGATGAGTGTGAGTCCCGGAGGCCTAGTCCTTTTTTCCCTTCCCACCCTTTTTCTTATAAGGAAAGGATGGGAAGTGGAAGTGGACTTTCCGGATGCATGGAAAGGGAATATGTTTTCTTTCTGTGCATCCGCTCCTCCGTCGATTAGAGGTAGGTAACGCATATGCAATTGCGTATGTCTATGGGCAACGGTCACTTCGCTACTTCAGCGATTACAGGTGGCCGCTCTCTCGTTTGCCACCTTGTGATATAAAAAAAAAGAAAACAATTTAAGATACTTGTATACCTGTTACTTATACTTACATGTCAGCCCGTTTCCGATACCAAAATCTCCGTATTAAACATATTGTCATCCCTGTCATTATGTTTGATAAAACAGAGATAACAATATGTTATAAACGAGGATTTTGGTCTCAGTAATCAACCTTAGCCAAAGTGCATACGCTACGAAGCATTTCCATAACGAACTTTGAAAATGTATAGGACTGACAATAACTTTCGATAAGTCACGTGATTGTTGCACGTCAGTTCTATACATATTTTATATTCTTTATGTAATCTTTTAGGAGCGAATGCATTTCTAGCCCCACATCAAACGACACGATAATAGTTGATATACGAGGCTAGTTTAAAGTTAATATTTGATGTGTCTAGTCCGATGATAAATTGTACGAAGTTCGTAATCAATCGGTGGCGTATTCATCTATCGCGTCAATATAAATAAAACGTTTTCCTTAATATATGCGATACAAAGAAATATTGAAGGTAAAAACCAAATGTGGTTCCCCGCTGAACTGAGCAAATTTAATCATTACGTTTCGTGACTGGTATCTAATTTGACAAAACTACTAAACAAAGTCGTACAGTCAAAGAATTAAATTCGCATCCCACGTAATATCGGATATCTTATACCTTAAAGGCACCATAAGTAATGTCATTCAGCAAGTACGTCGTGATATGTTTTCGATCTTATTACTGTGAGGGTCAAAAAAATTTCCTCAACTGCATAGATATCTGACCTGTTGCCGTATTCCAAGCAACAATCTTAAAGTTAATTGGAAATAATAAAAAAATCATTGGTTACTGGCAGTTGGCCGCGTCTTCGTCAACGCAGAATTAAAAAAAAAGTACCCTATAATATTCCGACGTGCGTCAGCTACCTTCCCGGCAAGTTCCCGTTAGTTCAGCAAATTCTTAAAAGTGTTATTAATTCTTATGAATAAAATATAATCCAATCATTTTTTATGTCTGGATTTTAGTAGCCGTATACACAGCTAAGCCAAGGTAATGTAACTACTATATTACTATCCTTCTCCCGCGATTCCGTCAGCACGAAATAAAAAAAAGCTTAATTAGTAACCGATGCGTTCTTTTAGATTATGTTCTGCATCTATACCAAATTTCATCAAGATTGACGCAGCACTTTTAGATATACCTACTAACAAACAAACACAGATCCATCCGTTCACACATCTAAACATTCGCAATCATAATACTAGTAAGAAAATGTATAAATTTATAAGTAGTATATTGGTATAACAAAAAAACCTACAACCACAAGATGGGTCGATGATCCCGCCAAGGTTGCAGGAACAAACGAGTCAGTGAATAGATGGCGGGGCTCAGCTGGACCTATTGTATAGTACGATCCAAACATTATAGAGGCTCGCAAATCCACACGTATCGATTTGCAGAACACAATTTTAGGTATCGGCGAGACACAGAGGGTCGATTAAGCATCGACCTGTAAAGACATGCGCTAGCAGCTAAACCCAAGCCCCCGAAAGTTTTAAATTATGTAAATACAAAGTGTCTTTTAAAAAATATTCATTTCTCTTCTGATTTGATCACCTATTATTTTCTGTGTTGTGGTGAACAGAAGTTCCATTAATCGGTTGACATAAAAAATAATAGTCGATGACATAATAGTTCATTTGTTGCCTTCACGTCACATAGGAGTTAAAACTAATAAGTACATTAACAAAGTTGAGTAAAGACAATTTTAAATTAGTTAAGGTTACAAATTGACCCGGACGACACTATAATAGATGATTTTTTTTATACCTAATTGTATATAAACATATCTATCTTAATAAATCTAATACGTTTTTTTTATATAATGTTATAACTTTATTGTTAAATAAATTTATCTTAGTCTGTTTTTAAAATCCCTCGCCAAGTTCCAAAATGCTACTCTATTGGTGGCAGATAAAGCAGTGTTGCCAATGTACAAAAATCGACAGTAATTAATTGTTTTTTTTTTAAGAAATTCATTTCTAAAGTTTTTTGGTTTTTATTGTGAGTGCAATGCCGAAACTAGCCTTAAAATGAAAATAGTCATTGATTACTATTGAGTTGTACAGGAAATAATGAAATTTACAGAAAATGTCACTCGCTTTTCAACTTTCAGAAACTGAACCAAACATTTTGTTATTGATATTGTTTTGATATCTGAGCCCAATCTGATCCGGGACTTTTATAAGCAAGTCATTTGTATACTCCATATTTTATATGCTCTTTGGTATACTCCTTGATATTCTCCCATTAAACGCATAATACACACTCTTCTTTCATATACTCTTTGGTGTCATGTCAAACAAATGCAAATTTTTATGAAGAATATTTGATTTGTTAAATATTTGAAGAAGATCGGATAATTAAACATATGAAATCAACATAATTTGCTATCTTCTTATAATTTTAAAACGTGAAGGAGGGTAAGTTCTTTGTTTGATAGTTTAATTTGTTTCAGTTATTATCGATGTACCTTTATTATCTTTTGTCAATCTTCCTTTCCTTATTTAATTACGAAAAAAAATATCTTTAAACTGCGTAAAAGAGATCATTTCCTATCGTTTAAAATTAGTTTTATGAGAATTCGACACGATTTGCTATTGTAAAGTTTTACCAAAGATTCGTGGCCATTTCTTTTTTTTTGGCAATATCTGTGGACAAATTAATTAAAAAATTTTCTTGTAAATATTGGAACAAAAATGTAAATGTTTTATTTTAAGGTTGTCTGTAGATTGGCGCTGAGACGATAAAAGAATGAGTAGAAGAAATAACAAGATTCGTAGGTAAGTTGTAATTATTTATTTACTAGTTTTATCCCGCGACTTTGGCGGCGAATAATTAAAAAAAATATATGATGAATAATCTAATAATCTTTATTCAAAAGTTCTGTATCTGTGTCAATTTTGTTGTAAACCATTGTAGAGTTATCAAGTAAATATGTAAATTTAACCCCCAAGAACCATACACGTTTCTAAGATCATATAGGATCTACTCAAGGGATGAGAAACCTGTTTACCCTTATATTTGCATGCATTGGGACTATAAATATATCACTATGAGCATAATACATGAGACAAATTTTATCATTTTTTTTATTCTGCTCAGAAAAAGTTGCATCTAGTTAATAATAATTAGAAATCAAATTTAATAAAATTTGAAATGCATGAATTCATGTTTGGAATTTAAATAATAAGAAAACTTATTTTATAAAATATTTATTACACAACAAAAATATAACTTAATAAAAAGAAATTTTGAATTCAATGAGTATATGTGCCAAGAAACACAATCACATCTTCATGTAAAATGGTAAAAAGGAATGGATGGTCCACAACAAACTCCATCGGAGGAGGTCGTCTGTACCTCGTAGACAATGGAACAATTACAGCCCCTGTCAAAGTAAAATTTAATACTAAGAAATATAAGTTAGTCGTTTTTTAATTACTTATATTAAATTCAAAATAACAAGACTTTAGAATCAGTTTGCACAATATGTGTGAGGTAGGGTGCGCTGGACGCACCGCATGCACGACACCTAACGGATTTTAGTTTGCTTTGTATGATTTTACATAGCGCTCCGCTCATCCATGCCATCCGCATCGCATCAAGACGAACTAATTCCGTTTAATCCGTGCGTGCGGTGCGTCCGTCGTGGACAATAGGCGCGTATCTTAAATCGCCTAGCAATCATATATGTAAGAAAGTAGTGGCTAGTATTGGAGTATAGAATATCAGTAATTTATGACTGTTATGGGTTTCTGAAATCAAAATATCCCTTTAATACATATTGTTCTGTTTTGTCAAAGATAATGATAGGAATAACTATATGTTTTATATATAGACATTTTGGTTTCAGAAACCAACAGTAAGTTATATATTGTATGAAATATATTAGTTGTGATCTGTGCTTTGCTTAACATTGCCTTAATTACTAGCTGCCGCCCGCGACTCCGTCCGCCCGGATTAAAAAATGACTATTAGTTGTCTATTTGTTCTTCCAGACCATGATCTATATGTATGCCAAATTTCATAAAGATCCATGCAACCATTCCGGAGATACCTTCAAATAAACATCTATTCATCTAAACATCGGCATTTATAATATTAGTATGATTCAATATATACATATTTTAAATACAGTTATAATGCTTGTGTCACATTTTCCATGTATTTTAATGAAAATTCAATATCCAAGGTTTATCCAAGTAAATAAATATCAAAATGTTATCAAAACACAAGAGTCAAGTTAGTCTTTGTAAATACTTTATAGTCATCATAAATATACTTAACTAGCTCTCGACCGCGACTGCGTCCGCGCGAATAAAAAAAAATTAGTAGCCCATGTCTTCTTCAAGACTATGTTTTACATCTTTGCTTAATTTCAAAGGGATCCATTCGGATATTCTGGAGATACCTTCAAACAAATATCCATCCATCCATCCATCCAAACATTTGCATTTATAATAATAATAGTAAGATTACTAAGATTTTGATAAAATGAAAATATTTAACATTTATAAAATATTTATTTTAAGTAGTAGTAATCCATTATTATAACTCAATGTGTGTATGTGCCAAGGAATAGTACCACCTCATTATGTAGAATGGCAAATAGAAATGGGTGATCTACAATAAAATCCTTTGGCGGTGGAGGTGTTGAATCATAGGATAATTTTATAGCTACATAGCCTGTGAAATAAATAAGTTGTCAATTGTAACATTACGGCCTCACTCACAGTCATTTATTGATTAATTAAGCAATTTAATAAATGGTTGCAAAGATAGTCCCGCTAAGCTTTCATGAAATGATTGAGTAGCATATAATCATGTTACATACTTAGCTATATATATAAAAGAAAGTGATGTTAGTTACACTATTTATAACTCAAGAACGGCTATACTGATATGACTGAAAATTGGTGAGGAGGTAGCTTAGAGCCAAGAGACGGACATAGGGTACTGTTTATTCATTTTTTTTCGAATTTATGCCTTGAAGAGCTGCTTTTTGTTTAACATACTAATATTATGAAGGCGATGTTTAGATGGATGTGATGTGGATGGATGGATGGACGCATCTCGATTAAATTTAGCATACGTATAGAACATAGTCAGAAAGAACACATAGGCTACACTAATTACATTTATTATATATCCACGCGGACGAAGTCGCGGGTGATAGCTAGTTTCATATAAGAAAGAAAAATATTTATTACCACACAAAGATACAAGAGAGAACACACAGTACAGATTTATAACAAAAAACTAGCTATCGTCCGCGACTGCGTCCGCGCGAAATGAAAAAAAACCTAATGAGTGGTCTATGTGTTCTTCCAGACTATGATCTTCATCTTTACCAAATATCCATTGAGCCGTTCCGGAGATACTTTCAAACAAACATCCATCCATCAATCCATCCATCCAAACGTTCGCATTTATAATATTAGTAAGATTAAAAGAATTCTGGCAAAAGGAGCCAGATCAGCGTATGCAGGGACAGCCTAAACAGACCCTGCACTGGATATAAATAATATTTAAAGTAGAAATACTTACAATTTGTTGAATAAACTTAATTAGATCATAATGTTTAAACAATAAATAAGCCCAGACCAATTGTTAGGTTAAATATCAAATTTTGGAATTTTTGCGTAATTTGATGTGTAGTTTAACATGACAAAGTAAAAGTTCAAACAATGTGTCTTACCAGTGAATGCACCAGCTTTAGCACCTTCCTCGTCCACATTCACTACTGCTTCTTGGAATATTTTTGATATGGCAACATTCGCATCCTTAACTATGCCACTGCTGCCTCCGGTAAATATTCCTTTTACTCCCAACTGTCACAAACAAACAAAAAAAAAACTTGAAATAATGTAATCGTTAAGAAGTATTAAGTTATAAAAAGAAACACTGCACCTTTGGTAATATTTGAGTAAAATCCAGACTACTTTTGATATCGAATTTGGGTAAATACAAATTGACCTCCCTTCTCGCGGGACTCAAAGCGAACACATCCTCCAATAGTCCCTTTTGTGCCACCTTTTCCAGGACATTTGAGAGGCCATCTATTTCATTTGGTAATATCACCACCATACGAAAACCGGGTTCCTGGTACGGCAACTCTATCATCTGCGACATTAATCATAAGCGTGAAGTTAACTTAATAATAGTGCTGTTACAAAAAAAGCGCAAAAGTTAAATAAGCTTACTTTAGCTCCGAGCTGGTCGTCCGCGTGGAAGAAGAGGGATTTACTTAGGTGCATCATCGGTTTCTTAATAGTGTACGATTTGTTGACGTGAAAGTTCTTTATTTCGGTCGATTCGACTTTGAAGGGAACGTGCCAATGGCCCTGTATAACAAATTGTATATTTTAGGACCCTTTACGCAGATATTTAGTTGAAGGCATTATCATTTAGAATCCTTTGGCGCGAATAGCGCGCTTACATTACAAAGTCAAGTGTTAGAATGATTAGTGAGGGAACATACACGTCGACATTTTAGTAAGGCTAGTGTTGTGCCAGTAGACCGGCACAGTCGGATTTTGAATCAGCAATACCTCTGCTAGGGGTTTTATTTCCCGATCCATCGATAACACAAACATATGCAGCTATAAATAGCTTCTATTTGAAGTATTTTTTGTAATAACATAAGGTAGCAAACGAGCGAGCGGCCACCTGAAATCGCTGAAATAGCGAAGTAACCGTTGCCCATAGAAATACGCAATTGCATATGCGTTGCCTACCTTTAATCGACGGAGGAGAGGATGCACTGAAAGAAAATATTTTCCCTTTCGATGCATCCTCTCATCCGGAAAGTCCACTTCCCATCCTTTCCATATAAGAAAAAAGAAGGGAAAGAGGACTAAATTAGGCCTCCGGGACGCACACTGATCAGACGAAACGCGGAATTGCTACCACTTCATGCCTGTCTTCTTTGTGGTCGTGGTATTTCACCGGGCGAGCCGGGCCAATTCGTGCGAAGATGTTAAAGCGGGCTCTACCACTGTCAAAAAAACTGTCCCGAAGATTTAAGTATTTAGTATTGTTACCTTGAAATATATAACGTTGAAAAGTGCTACCAACGCGTCTTTGTCCAAAGATGTTTTCTTCACGGGGTCCTTGATGAGGCCCCTTAGTTTTTTATTCGCCTGTTCAACACATATACATTTTTAATGCGAACACAAAAAATGCAAATTATAATTAGCTGTTGCTTGAGTCATTGTCAGCGTGGAATTAAAAGTAAAATAGCCTTAATATTCTTCCGCATGTTAGCTTTATTTCTAAGTTCTGTTAATCAAAGAATTTTTATAACTGGTTGGTTGTGATAATAATAACGTTATGGATGTGTACGAAAGATTTTTTTTAAATATGGAGACACTCCAATGTTGTTTGTTTATATATTTTTTTAATTATCAAATGGCTCGTCAAATAAAGTAAGTATAAGTATAATGTTATTTTTTCTTGCTGATTAAAAGGTCAAGTTTATTTAATTTCTTCATTTTTATTTTGAACATAAGTTAAACTTATACGGAATTTATCGCGTTCATTAAGTGTTATCGAAAAATATGGGTGTGGAAATTAAAAAACAACTGCGACAATTTTGTTAATTGTTATGTATAATTTGATGACCATTTACTAGATTGTCACCTTATTATATATGTGAAAAGTTTATCGCGTCTCACCCATTGGTTGATTTCATGTGCTGCATTTTCTACATCGTGGAAGTCGACGGAGTCCACCTCTGTGTTGTAGGCGCGCGCTGTGTTTAGAAATTCCTCATTCAGGTCGTACCCCGAGGCTACGTAGATCTTGTTGGCCAATGACAAGCTGGAGTTCATTGAAGCGTACTCATTGCTTAGACCGCTGTAGCTATCGAACATCTAACAAAACAGTAATATAGACAAAAAAGGGGCATTATTGATTACTTACAACTTCACATTAGTTACTTAGTTTACAAATCTCAACAGAACAGTATTTGTAAGAAGTAAATTATGTGAGTTGTATAATATGTAATAACGCTATCTTCCACTACTTCGTCTGCGCGAAATTAAAAAAAAAATAACTTAATTAATAGCCTTTTCTTCCAGACTTTATGTTCTACATTTCAGCGAGAACCGTCGACCCGTTCTGCAGATACCTTCTAACATACATATAAATACATCCCTACATGCAAACATTCGCATATTAGTAAAAGTAAAAAAAGTAAATTTAATCTCATTCCTGACGACCAAACGAAATACCGGTACTGAGAAGTAATAAAAATAAGTTAAAAGTTTATCAAATATTATGAACTAATGTAAATTTTACCTCTTTGTAGTCGGTTGCGCCAAGCAGTTCTGTAATTTCATCCCTCGTTTTACCCTGGGTGCCGGAAGAGTATAATGATAAGAGAAATAACACACCCAGGGGTGAAGTTACCACATTACCATCTGATGATAGGTAGGCTTCCTGTAAATATGCCAACAAAACTCATCATCATCAGCTCACTATACGTCTCCACTGAGGGGCTCGGAGTCTAACCTAACAGGGGTGACTAGGCTATAGTGAACTACGCTGGCCTTGTGTGGGTTGACATATCATTGAATTTCTTCTCAGATATGTGCATATAATATTTCCTTCACTGTAAGAACGTCGCATATATGGACATATGTAACCGAAAAACAAATACACATGTACACATGGTACATGGCGGGATTTGTACCCGAAGACCTGCATATTTCAAGTTAAGAGATTTACCACTGTGCCACCAACGGTCAAATAAAATTATTAACTCCTAAATAAATCAATAGACTTTTTTTTACTTTATCGATTTATTCATATTAAAAATGGCCAATTCGGCGCTTTTAGAAAAAGCTTGTTGGTTTTGATATAATAAAAATTGTCTTACCTTCAAAAGTTTAACAGATGCTTTATCGATGTTATCTCCTAGACGAGTTCTAGAATACTCGTGATCCAATAATGAATTAGCAGTACTGGCCACTGTGACTGTTATAAAAATGAATATAAATTATCGACGAACAAAAATGAAAAAAGAAAAAACATACAGACGAATTGAGAACCTCCTTTTTGAAGTCGGTTACAAATAATCAATTTACACAAGAAAACTTTATTAACATTATAAAGTGACATAAACTAAAAATTATATCAATGGGCATATTTTAATTTATAAATAGAATATTTTTATTACTATGAAAAAATAATTGAAAAATAAATATTTATTTAAGTATAGTAATTCAGCAAAATTCAAGTATTTATATATATTTTTATCTAATTTTACTTACCCAGAAGCAAGAGAAATAACCATTCCATGTTGAATGTGTTCATTGAAGAACTGAACTGATCTCGATCGACCTTTTAATCTCTATTTATATTAACGACTAATCGGTTATTTGCGTTTTCTTATCTAAATTATTTTTGACATTTATATTGGGAATATACTTGTGATGGATAATAAATAAGTGGAGGGAAAAAGTATATTATCATCCTCGCCTATCTACAATTGGTAATATTTATTTGACAAAAGAGCGAACGGCCACTTGAAATCGCTGAAATAGCGAAGTGACCGTTGCCCATAGACATATGCAATTGCATATTTTTTGCTTACCTTTAATCGCCGGAGGACAATGGTCAATGCACAGAAAGACAATGGTTTCCCTTCAAATGCATCCTCTCATTTGGAAAATTTATATCCTTTACTTTTAAGAAATGGGTGGGAAGGAAAGTTTACTAAGATTATGCCCCCGACACGCACACTCATCAGAGTGTACGCGGAATTGCTTCAACTTGACAAGTCTTCTGTATGGTCGTAATATTGCCCCTATCGAACCAAACAATTCCTGCGAAGTTGTTAAAAGCAGGTTATACCAATGTGAAAACTCTCTAACTTTCTGGTATAACACGAAGGCTACTTGTTAAGTTTTTTTTTAAATCCGCGCCGACAGAGTCGCGGTCCACGTCTAGTTTTTTTTTTAAATAGAGTTACAAGATCTATTGATGTGCTTGATATTGAATGATATTACTGTTTTCCACATGTTTAATGGATACAAATGCCAACCGGGTTTTTGTATCCATTACACTATCGAATTGTTAATTCAGCGATCTGGGTTTATCCGTGTGATCATCAACTTTTATACTGCCTATGCGGCTTAATTTTGCATAGTAAAAGTTCCATATTATAAATAATGTTGGGTTTTTACATGTTTCTTTTCAGGTTGGAGGTGCAAAATATACTGAAACTCGCGAACACGCTACAGGCCACGTTCGTCGTCAACGCCGATTTAAATTACGACACCCTGATCAGCCCCGAGATTACAATCAATAGTACCGCCAACTTCCAGGTGAGGGTTATTATCACTCAGGATTCTTACAACTCAAATTGCAACAGCTTCATATTCGTCAAATTGTACAAAATTGACAAGGACGACGAGCTTAAGTACAACATGAACTTGTCCAGCATTTATTTAAATATCGACAACAAGACATTTCCTTGCGATGACGGCACCTGGCATCTCGTTACAGAGCTTAAAACATTGCATTTCACTTTCGATATAAGCGTGGTAATGAACATATTGCAAGGGAGCTCGTTCGCCACGCTATACGACGAAGTCGACCTCATGGACTTCGAGCTGCGCGGCGAGGACGGGGCCGTGCGCGTCCACCGCGCCGTCCTCGCAGCCTACAGCCCGGTCCTGCGGCGTATGCTTAACGGCAGCTGGCGCGAGACCGCAGAAGGCCACGTCGACGTCCCCGGCACCTCCAAGAAGACGCTCCAACACCTCAAAAACTACATGTACCTGCATACGCTTCCCGATACCGACTTGGAGCCCATTATGGTGCTGGCGACGTACTATATGATGCATGAGCTGGAGCAGATGTGCGTGGACCGGCTGGTGAGCGCGCTGGATGCGGAGAACGTGTGCCAGTTATTGCAGTTCACGGCCAAGCACCGCCTCACGCGGTTGCTGCTCGCCGTGCTTGAATCCGTGCAGAACGGCGTCATTAAAGTCATCGATATACGTAAACACTGCATGCATTCCAAGCTACCGTAAGTACATTTTAATAAACCACATGTATTCCTACTGTTAGGAAGAAAATCCGACACAGTCCCAGTGTACTGGCGCAACACTAGCCTTACTAAAATGTCCACGTTTATTTCCCCTCACTAATCATTCTGACATTTGACTTTGTAATGAAAGCACGTCATTCGCGCCAAAGGATTCTTATTAATAATGTCTAAAAATGAATATTAACAAAATTTGAGTATCCGTATGTAATATCGATTAAAAAAAATATGTTTCGTACAAGTGATTTATTAGGTACGCAACTAAGTTCTCCTGTTTATCAGTAGATGGCTCTAGCAGTAAGAGCTGGTCGATTTTGACATATTCAAAACGTCATGAACCAAGCTTAGACATATGGTAAACAAACCGTTGCGACACATGAGTGATTTTGTTTTCTCATTATATATTTCTGGTCAAGTAAAAATGTCG